TTAAGCAACCCAACACACGAGCATAATCCAATTGTGATATGCTTTGGCCTTTGTTCTATGTTAATGCAAGATTCACGTCAATTGGAATCTTTGCAACTTTAAAGACCAAGTGCTTGAATTTTTCAAGTACTGTCTTAATATAATGAGATTGTGACAATGCCAGACCTTGAGAAGTCTTATGGATTTTAATTCCCAGAATTAAATCAGCAACTCCCAAGTCTTTCATATCAAACTTGCTATTTAGCATGCGCTTAGTCACATTTATATTGGCAATGTCATTACTCATTATCAGCATATCATCCACATATAAACAAACAATGACTATGTGATTTGGAACATTTTTAATGTACACACATTTATCACATTCATTTATTTTAAAATCATTTGACAATATTGTTTGGTCAAATTTCGCATGCCATTATTTGGGTGCTTGTTTTAGTCCGTAAAGGGACTTAACAAATCTACATACCTTCTGTTCTTTACCCGGAACCACAAACCCTTCAGGTTGTTCCATGTAAATTTCTTCCTCCAACTCTCCATTTAAGAAGGCTGTCTTAACATCCATTTGATGAATTTCAAGACCATAAACTGCAGCTAACGCTACTAACGTTCGTATGGACGTAATTCTTGTAACTAGAGAGTATGTATCGAAATAGTCAAGACCTTCTCGTTGTCTATACCCTTTGACCACAAGTCTTGCCTTAAATTTGTCAATATTGCCATCATCTTTCATTTTCCTCTTAAAGATCCATTTAGAACCCAACAGTTTATTTCTAGGAGAAAGATCAACCAATTCCTATGTATGGTTGTTCAGTATGGATTCTATTTTACTATTGACTACCTCTTTCCAAAACAATGATTTCGAAGAAGACATAGCTTCTTTAAATGTTTGAGGCTCATTTTCCAATAAGAAAGTCACAAAATCTGGTCCAAATGAAGTAGACGTTCTTTGACGTTTACTACGTCTTGGATCCTCCTGGTTAAGTGTGTTTTCTTTTGTTTCTTCCCGAGGTCGTTTAGATCCTTCACCAATCAACTCACATTCCTTTTTATACGAATATATATTTTCAAAGAACTCAACATTATCTGATTCTATAACCGTATTATTATGAATGTCGGGATTTTCTGATTTATGAACTAGAAATCAATATGCTTTACTATTAGTCGTATATTCAATGAAAACACAATCAACGGTTTTCGGTCCTATTTTTACCCTTTTGGGTTTAGGAACTTGCATTTTTGCCAAACACCCCCCTCACTTTAAAATAATTCAAGTTGGGCTTCATTCCTTTACATTTTTCATATGGAATAGATTGTGTTTTGCTATGGGGTACTCGATTTAGTATTTGGCTAGCCGTAAGAACGGTTTCCCCTCACAAGTTCTGTGGCAAATCAGAACTTATCAATAATGCGTTCATCATCTCCTTTAATGAATGATTCTTTCTTTCTGCAATCTCATTGGATTGGGGCGTGTAAGGAGCCATTGTTTGATGAATAATTCTATATTCTAAACATATTTGTTCAAAAGGAGATTCATATTCACCACCCCTATCACTTCTTATCATTTTGATTTTCTTGTTAAGTTGTGTTTCAACTTCATTTTTGTATCGCTTGAATGTGTCTATTGCTTCATCTTTACTATTAAGTATAAACATAGCAATATCGAGTATTATCGTCAATAAAAGTTATGAAATACTTATTTCCACCGTGAAATGGTATTGACTTCATATCACAAATATCTGTGTGAATTAAGTCTAAAGGATCTGAATTCCTTTCAACTGACTTATAAGGATGTTTAACATACTTAGATTCCACACATATTTGACATTTTGATTTGTCGCATTCAAATTTAGGCAATACTTCCAAATTAATAATTTTCTGCAAGGTTTTATAATTAACATGACCCAAACGTATATGTCATAATTCATTTGGCTCAAGTAAGTAAGATGAAGCTGAAATTTTATTATTATTTTCAACAACCATTACATTCAGCTTGAAAAGGCCCTCAATGAGGTAACCTTTTCCTACAAACATTTCGTTCTTACTTATTACAAACTTATCGGAAACAAAAACACATTTAAAATCATTCTTAACAAGAAGTCCAGCAGAGACTAAATTCTTCCTAATCTCGGGGAACATGAAGGACGTTGTTCAAAGTCACCACTTTGTCGGAAGTCATTTTGAGAAATATCTTCCCACATCCTTCAATCTTGGCCTTTGCAGCATTTCTCATAGAAAACGTCTCATCGGGGCAACAGGAGCATAAGTAGCAAAAGCTTCTCTAACAGCACAAACATGGCGAGTGGCTCCAGAATCAATCCACCATTCTTTAGGATTGCCCACCAAGTTGCATTCAGAAAGCATGACACATAAGTCATCAACATCATCATGCTTTTCAACCATGTTTGCTTGACCCTTCTTCTTGTCTTTTTTGGAGCATGACACTCCGTAGATTTGTGTTCGGCTTTTTCACAGTTGTAGCAATTTCCATTGAACTGCTTCTTGCTTGGGTTGTATTTTGGTCCAGAAGCCTTCTTCCTCTTTTTGTTCTCTTTAACAATATTTGCTCCCATTATTGTTGAGTTTCCACAGCCTCTCTTTTCAGCAGCTTTGTTGTCCTATTCGATTCTCAACCGAACAATGAGATCTTCAAGGGACATTTCCTTGTGTTTGTGTTTCAAGTAGTTTTTGAAGTCCTTCCACAAAGGAGGCAACTTCTCAATCATCGATGCTACTTGGAATGCTTCATTGATGACAAGACTTTCAATGAAATTTCTGTTAGTAAAAATACTAAGATTACTACTTTCAACATCAGTATTAATTTGATTTATACCTTCAGCAAGGAGATCGTGAATAATCACTTGCAATTCCTAAACTTGGGTAATAACAAACTTGCTATCTACCATTTTGTAGTCCAAAAACTTTGCAACAACGAACTTCTTCAACCCGACATCTTCGGTTTTGTATTTCTTTTCAAGCGCAGTCCACATTTCTTTTGACGTTTCCACGCCACTGTAAACGTTATACAAAGCATCCTCCAGCCCGCTTAGAATATAATTCTTGCACAAAAAATCTGAATGCTTCCACGCCTCAATCACGAGAAAGCATTCAGTTTCTGGAGTTTCATCGAAGAACACAGGAACATCTTCCTTGATGCTTCTGGAGACTTAGAGTAGTCAAATAGAAGAACATCTTTTGCTGCCAGCGCTTGAAATCAATCCCGGAAAATTTTTCAGGTTTGTCCGCTAGTGCCAATGCTGCCGGTGTTGTTCGGCTCGTTGAGGCATTGATAGTCACCATTAGAACAGCTTGGTTCACATTATCATTAGTCATTTCTGTAAAAGAATGACACAAGCGTTAAAATCACGTAGATTTTAATCTCCAATAGAGTACAAAACCACAAAGGTTTTACTCTCCAGAAACAAAGAGTACAAATACAGAAAATATATTAAATTCCTTAGTAAACTGTATTTGTAAAATAATTCTGGAAAATATAAATGAACATAAACAGAAATAAAAAACAGAAACAGAATTTTAATCCAAGCCCACTGAATTCACAGTGTTTCCTTAAGGAATTTAATCCCCTTCTAGTACCCAAGATTGTGGATTATTTCCTTCGAGGATAGAACGAATTACACACTGGTGTAGTGGTACTTCAAACCCCAGTGTTTCAGCAAACACAAAGTTCGGTAGCAAATCACACTTACTGTTGCTTTGTTTGATGTTAAAAGTATACAGAAGAAGGAGAAACTCATAAAATCGTATGAAAATTCTGAGCAGAATAGTCTTGTATTTATAGCCAAAGGTGGGCTGAAATCTGAAGAGGTGCAACTCTTCAGAATGGCTGTTTATGCAAAACGGCCACAACATAAATGGCTATTTACTCAACAATAAACAGGGAAAATTGAAGAGGGTAATTTAATTTTCAATTACACAACTGAAAAACAGATTGGATTTAATATTAATATTTATTTTAATATTAATATTCTGTTATTAAGACAAATATTTAATAATATTTCTATTAATATTTTACTATTAACAAATAAATTTGGTCCAAAAAATTAATCAATCAATCATTTGACCAAATCCAAATCCGAAGGCGAGCCGAGCGACGACGACATGAGGCTTGCCTTCTTCAACTCTTTAAGAGCTAGAAGAAGAGCAATTGCTTATATATCCATAAAAAACTTCTTCCTCTTCTAATATGGGACAATGTCCCTTTGTCAAGGGGGGAAACTTAAAATTTCACTCAAAATTTTTATTTTCCTCCATTTCCAATTCACCCTATTTTAAGCATATCATATACTTAAAATCCCAACACATCTATAGTCTAGAATAAGATGTACTGCCTTATTTCATTATTGTTTTGTCAAATCAATTCCATTTCTTAAGCTCTCTTCCTTTTTTGAAAAAAAAAATTAAAAAATTAGAGCACTCTTCCTATCGTAATGTACGATTTCCTTCAAGTTCTTTTTTTCCTTTTTCCTTTTTGTGGGCTAAGAGTATTCTAATAGAATCTTTTCAAACTCTCCAACCGACTCTTCTCCTCTTTCTTAGTTATTGACCGTGCAAAGCAAGTAAATAAAAACACAAAAAAAGTAAGAAACTAAACTTCATATCTTGTAACTTCCCCGTAATTTAACTCTAATTATCCAAAAACAAAATCCTAAGTCGGTTACAAATTGTGTAGCCACCAAGTAAACCATCATTACATATATAGTAATCCAAAACAAAATTTCAAATCAAAATAGTTCTCACTTCACTGTGCATGGCCCTAAACGTCACTTCATCATAATCACCTTAATTCCTCCTTCAACGTTAGTATCAATTACCTCAACCCTTAGTATCAATAATGGCTCCTCCTCCAATAACAAAAACAACGCCTCAGTACCAAACAAATTGAAATTGTGCATGCGCATACCAAACAAGTTGGAAATGCTCGTGTGCATGGGAATGCGCACGCGAATGCCAAACAAGCGCATGTGAATCCTCACCACAACAAAAACCAATATTATTTTCTCCAATGGGTCTCACAGAGAATTTTTCAGCAACTTCTCTGTCTACTGGAAACCCATGTTTAGATTTCTTCTTTCACGTTGTCCCTAACACCCCACCTCAAGAATTATTGAAAAGATTGGAACTTTCTTGGAAACGTGATGCTTTGACAACCCTTAAGCTTATTTGCAATTTAAGGGGTGTTAGAGGCACTGGCAAATCAGACAAAGAAGGGTTTTATACTGCTTCTTTATGGCTTCACAATTACCATCCTAAAACCCTAGCATGCAATATTAAAGCCATTGCCGATTTCGGGTATTTTAAGGATGTGTTGGAGATTTTGTATAGAATTCTTGAGGGTCATGAAGGTAGAAAGAATGAAAAAGCAGAGTGGATGGAAAAGAAAAGAATTGGTTTTTTGGAGGGTTTAAAGGAGAAAAAAGATAGGGTTCCTAAGGGAAAGGACCAAAGAATTCGACTGAAAAAGACTATGGCTAAGGCAAAGAAATAATTGGACAGATGCACACAAGATTCTGATTTTGAATTCTTGTATGATAGTGTCTCTGGTTTCTTTGCTGATGCTTTGTTGGAAGTAATGAAGTTGTACAATGAGGGGAAGCTTTATGAGCTTAGCCTCGCGGCTAAGTGGTGTCCATCTCTTGATTCATCATATGATAAGTCATTGCTAATGTGTGGAAGTGTTGGAAGAAAATTATTTCCTCGCGATGACTACATTGAATACCAAGATCTTGAAGACGCGCATTATGCTTATCGAGTGAGGGATAGATCGAGGAAAGAAGTACTCGTGCCACTCCACAAGGCATTGGAGATTCCAGAGGTTTATATTTGCGCGAATAAGTGGGAAGAGCTTCCTTATAAACGCGTACCCTCCGTGGCCATGAAATTGTACAAGAATTTGTTCTACAAGCACGATCAAGAACGCTTTCAGCAGTATCTTGAAGATGTGAAGAGTGGGAAAACAACAATAGCTGCTGGTGCTCTGCTTCCACATGAGATAATTGCCTCGTTGAAAGATTCCACGGGGCCGGAAGTTGCAGAGCTTCAATGGAAAAGAATGGTTGATGACTTGGCAAAGAAGGGCAAATTAACAAATTGCATGGCAATTTGTGACGTCTCAGCAAGCATGAATGGAACCCCAATGGAGGTTTGTGTGGCTTTGGGGCTACTTATTTCTGAACTTAGTGAAGAACCTTGGAAAGGAAAATTAATCACATTTAGTAGTAATCCAGAATTACATAAGGTGAAAGGGAAAATTTTGTCAGCGAAGACAAATTTTATTAGGAGAATGGACTGGGGTGGTAATACAGATTTTCAGAAAGTGTTTGATAAGATTCTTGAAGTTGCTGTGAGGGGGAATTTGAGCGAGGACGCGATGATAAAGAGGCTATTTGTTTTCAGTGACATGGAATTTGATGAGGCTTCACCAAGTCCATGGGTGACGGATTATATAGTGATACAAAGTAAGTTTAAGAAAAAAGGCTATAATAAGGTGCCCGAAATTGTGTTTTGGAATTTGAGGGATTCAAAGGCAACACTAGTTCCTAGTAACCAAGAAGGAGTGGCACTTGTGAGTGGATTTTCAAAGAATCTCGTGCCTTTGTTCTTGGAGGAAGGTGGGATTTTGAGCCCAGAAGCTGTAATGATGCAAGCTATTTCTGGTGAAGAGTATCAAAAGCTTCTAGTCTTTGATTGAATTGTTAAAAAAAAGAATTTGAGATTGTGATAAGATGTGCTCTTTAATTTCTATCTATTAATAAGAAATTCAGAGTTCCTATATAGTTGTGTTCATCTTCATGTATTTCGTTTTATTTTCCTTTGACTATTCCTTCTCAGCAAGATTTAAACTGGAAAATATTTCTGTTCCATATAATTGTACTACTGTTATACTAGTTTCCATATTTACACAACATACGGATAAGAAAAAAATGAGATTTATTGAAGAGGAAATCTCCTTAAAAGATAATATTCTTACCATGCAAATTGGTAAATATTACTTACAGTTGATTAGTTCTGTTACAGGAGCAATTATTATAGCCACAGCTCAACCTGGTTTTATAGCTCCAGCAGATAATTTTCATGCATTCTATTAAGCTAAGAATGCTTCTGATGTTATGCAGCCGATTGAAAGATACAAAGATGTACAAACCTAATTCTCAAGCTCAATAATCTTCACCACAGATGAGTCACCAACTTTCTGGAAAACAACAACTCGGTCATGCGGCTTTATAACACCTGCTGTTTTCCCATGGTCCAGTGCAACCTTCAATACTGACTCATCGGTTGCATTTGTGGACTCAGCCTGCAGAAGGAAAGGACAAAGTCAATATTTCGGCCACGACATACCGAACATTCTAACATTAAGAAAGAATGTTACAATAACTATGAAGTTAAGAAGGTCAGAAGGAAGATTATGCACTTCTCAAAGTTTTTTCCCTCTTGTGAACTTTTCCCTTTCTTGATTAAATATAAGTTGATTATATATTACACTTCTAATTTGTATGCTTATCAACCTCTTTCTACATTATCTTTCTTCCTGTTATACTTTTTCTCAGCATAAGTAAACTTTCATTCACCTTTTTCCCTTTCTTTTATTCTTTTACTATTTTTAGCCTTTTTAATTGACCGTTCTGTTAGCTTCACCCTTATATCCGGTGACTGATCCAGTGATACTTGTCTCTTTTCGGTGACTATTCTAGCAGCACGCACACCTCTTTCCGGTGAGTGATCTAGTCAAACTATGCTTTTTCCTAGGGACCGTTCTGACGGCACCACTTTTTTCAAGCCTTTTTCAATCAATAATCAAGTCATTGTTCCACCAGTCAAGTGTTTGTTAGAGCGTGAAATGCTTATGAAGATAATTCCAAATACAAAATCTACATCATCTCTGACAACTACAACTGTCTCACGTATTCCACAGTTAACAAATGAAATCCATGCAGACTTAGCAAAATACAAAACACAATGGAAGATAAAAGATCCATGTAGGCAATATATATACTAACTAGCTGAGATTAAGTCTTACCAATGTTGTTGCATACACATTAGGTGTAAAGTTTGTTAGGAGTCTTTTTAATCTTGTTAAAGATTTGTATATCAATAAAAAATGTAGAGAATTTCAAGTGTTAAAGAACCTAAATATTCAATATTGGAATGAAACGGGTCAACATGGAGCGAAATACATAGTAAGGATTCATAGCCAATCCCAACTAACTTGAATGATGTGTTAGTTGTCGTTCTATTCTCTTACCTTTAATATTTTTCTCACAAGCTCACATAATAATACAGAAACATTTTTAATCACACTTCACAATTTCATGTTTGTTAACGTCATCTTTTAATCAGAATACAGACCTGCAGTAGCTCTAGAAAGAAATCACTTATTTAGGGAGGAACAAAAGAAAAAATCATACTGGATGTCTTGGATCAGCAAGGATGGGGAAAAGCCCTCTGACAATAAGAGACTGCCTAGCCTGTCATTTGAAGTCATCAATGCAATAGCCAAACAAAATCAGTTTCATTTTCTATTTGACAATGATAAAATCATCAATAATAATATGAATTAAAGAATGAAAAAAGAAAAATAAAGCATCAGAAGAAGAGCTTTATTGGCATTGCAAGAAACCTTTTCTTACACTAAGTGTCAGTCTGTGTGATTAAGAAATAGAAGAGAAAAGTTTGCGGTCTAACAGGATTCCACTACTTGCCTCACATCAGAATTAGTGGGTATCTGTTTGAAACGGAGTTCTTGCAAAAGAACAAAAAGTTCTTGCAAACACTTAGAGCCCGTTTGGACATGATAATTTTTTCACTTTTTTTTGAAATCAGTGTCTTGCCCGTAAAATTTTCAATTTTCACTTGAAACTGAATTTTGGAATTTTTCAAAAATTTGAAAAACTCCAAAAAGCTTTTTTTCAAAATTTTCATTCAGATCACTCACAAAACTTCAAAAACAACCCAAAATTATATTCATGTCCAAACACAACTCTAATTTTCAAATACCATTTTTTGAAATTTTACAATTCTTATGTCCAAACGCCCACTTAGTTTCAATTTTTCAAGCAAACACCATCTTAGCATATGGCACATTCATAGAAGGTAGAATGAATCAGATCCATCCTAATATGGATGTCATTATTGAACCATCTAGGAGAAGAATAACATATCATCAATGAGTGAAAGCAGATGCACTATATTTTGTTGGCAACGAATCCATAGAGCAGGAGCTTGACTTGTGATATGATAGGTATAATAAGATGCAGACTTGCTGATATATATAGGTATAATAAGATGCACCTTAATTAAATTCAGTTTGGTCGGGTAACATGATGAGAAAAACTATTTACATATAAGTTGAAAAATACCTAAAAAGAAAGTCCTTTATGAAACATTGATTACCTGAAATGCACCACTGAATGTCCACCGAAGCTGGTTCGTCTTGAGACGAGGGATGACAACAGACAATACTGGCATCGGTGGCCTATACTTAGCTATCAATCTGCGTTATCAGTAAAAGGTTATCAATTAAATTTCTTGCACCATACAAAGTGGCATGCTTTTGCTGGCTTGTGGTTAAAGAGGCTGTTCTAACACATGACAGTCTGATGCAGAGTGATACAATTGTGTTCTAAATGCTTTTTGTGTGGGAGTGACATGGAAACAAATAGTCATCTGTTTATCCATGGCAGAGTTACCAGTACTCTGTGGCAACTCTTTATGAGTATGAAAGGACTCAGATGCCTAGGAAAACTGCCGAGTTGTTAGCATGCTGGAATGATCCAGACAATTTGTGAGACAGAAAAGATGGTGGAGAATTATCCCAGCATGCATCTGGTGGACAATATGGAGGGAAAGAAATTCAAGGTGTTTCGAAGATTTAGCTAACTCCGAACAGAAGATCTAGATGAATTGTATATTTTTGTTTCACTTTTGGTGAAAAGAGACCCTAGTAGAAGATGTAGATTCAGTAATTGACATCATTGGGGCATTGTAACTAGTACAGGACTAGGTTTTGCCTTTTGGGTTTCCTGTATTTGGTTCCTCTTAGCAGAGTCTTTGTGTTTATAACTTGTTTGGCCAAGCTGCAAAAATCAACTTATTTTGAGAAGTGCTTTTCTCAAAAGGACTTTTGGGGAGAAGCAGTTTGTGTTTGGCTAATTAATTTGAAAAGCATTTCTGAGCAGCAATTAGTGTTTCGCCAAGCTTTTAAAAACTGCTTCTATTTTCTCAAAAGTGCTTTTCAAAAAAGTGCTTTTGGAGAGAAGTTACTTTTCTGCTTCTCAAAAAAGCTTCTGCTTCTACTCAAAAACACTTTTTTTTTCTTCTTAAAGCTTGGCCAAACACTTCAATTTTCGGAAAAAAATACTTTTAAAAAAAAAAAGTGCTTTTGGCTTAGGAGAAGCTTGGCCAAACAGGCTATTACTCTTTTGAAAATTTATATAAAATCTGTTACCTTCTTCCAAAAAAGAAAAGTGACGCCATTCTCTGGTGAGAAGGCCTGGTAGAGATGTCTTTGACAAGAAACATAATTTGCATCAAAGCATAGCAAATATGATGGTCGGGGAGAGGGAGGGAGAGAGAGAGAGAGAGAGAGAGAGAGAGAGAGAGAGAGAGACCTCGCAGCTCTCCCTGAAGAAGTGAAGCAGATAATAACAGACGCCTTGACCTTGATGGCAGCACGTACCTGAATCAAACAAAAGTAGTGCAGACAGTATTCATGTCAATACCAGAGTCTTGAAGTCTATGACACTGTTTCCCTCCAGCCTAACGAAAAGGCTCAATATGAGCAGTAGAAACAACATACCGCAGAGGAAGCAATAGATTCCAAGTGAGTCATTGGTTCTCCAACATACTTAACAGCCCTCTTAAAGTAGACATCTTGATTATAAACCTTTTCCGCCTGGAAAAAGGAACTAACGTGAGCAGCAAAATTTACAAAAGAATCTCAGAATTATCATCTGACTACATTGGAATCAACAAGACATCGCCTTTGGATGGCATAGGGTGCATTTTAAGGCAAATATGAACCGAAAAGAAAAGATTATGCCGCAATATCAGCCTTAACACCGATTGCTTACGGATTTGTTCCTCTCCCGTGCCATTTTGGCTAAATACAAACCCGACTAGAAAAAACGTACTGGCTTAACCAGCAAACCATTAACCAGACTCACAACCTATAGTTAGTTCATTCATCTCCTCCCCGACAAAATGTGGTAGAAAATACACTCGAACCATGGTTCCAAGTTTGAAATTGAGCTTCTTTCAGTATTTCTCTTATTTGGAAAGTGAAATTCATCACTGAAGAGGTCCTTAAAAGACAATTAGATGGTGAATATATGTCCCTGTAAATACATTTCCTAATTCATAATTTCTTCCATAGCTGCATGCCTAATTCACATCATGACAGCAACCGATCCCAAAACTTGCACCGAGCAAGGGCTATTTAAGATTATTTACTGGTTATATGGCCCATGTTTATGCTGGAAAAATAGATGTGCATGTGAACCTATCCATGTAACTTTGATGTTAAGTCTTTTCCGCTTATGAACTGAAATCCTATCAAACATCTGGAACTTCCGCTGTACATGATCAAAGTGATCATGGCGCACTCAATATCACTTTCGGCCGTTAGGGGGATATGCTTTAGAATATTAATCCGACCTTCAAAAGGAATATAACTTCAACCATTCCACCAATAAAGAATAAACATTGAATTCAACATAATTGTGCTTGCTGTGCGGTAAAATCAAGATCAAGTCAACATAGCTTTTACTTTTTATGGCATCAATACAGCCGAAAAGATACAGTAGTCTATTAACTATTATTTCTGAT